ATAGGAAATCACTCAAATATACCACCCAGGTCCAAGAATTTATAGCTTCTATGTATAGGACTTGGTCAATTTTCCCCCATTCTCTTTTGCTCTCTTCTAACAAACGAAAGAGAATTGACATAGCATGCTACTCCTACAGAAATCGAATATGAAAAACGAAGTTTGAATTGTTGTAGGTCAACAACGCCACCAATACCTAATGACGCCAAACTTCTGTCATGCACATATTACCTCGACGGCAAACGTGACACAGAGGCATTTCAGATATGGATATCAAAACAGGAGAGAGAAGTATTATCTAGGCAAGAAATAACTAATCCGATTGGACTTACAAATCGCCCCTAGAATGGGTAACCTGTGGCTAAAACAACGAAGCATCGAATAGTCCGACGTGTTTGATTAAACCACCGCCACAGAAAAGGTCTAGAACAAAGATGATCTGGGTAGCTCATAACTTGTAAGTTGTATATTGCCTCATATAGGCAAAGTTGGGAGAGGTGGAAGGTAAGTAGACTATCATAGTGACATTGATGGCTTTGCTTTGGTTTTTGGTGGCCATATACCATTTGTCTTACTTAAATAGTGGTTTCCTACATGGATCTCTGTGCCATATCCACAAATTTACACAAGTCATCTATATCCATCACTCTTGGCCATATTCACGCCCTAGTCTGCCAATATGCCTGTTTCCCAGTATGTCGAACGAGAGGCCAGTGGGTCTAAATCCCAGTTTGCGCCAGGTAAGTAAGTGGTGTTTTGTCTATGAATTGATTTCTAACACGACACTTCCTCGTATAGGCCACAAGATTCCTGTTCAACACTTGAAAAAGCCAGGCCTGCAGTCTGATATGGGAGAGCCCAAGCCTGTGTCTAATCATATTCCTACTGAGGATTACGGTTATCAGATCTACAAAGCTGCTGGCAAGCTCGAAGGAAAGAGAGCAATCATCACCGGTGGTGATTCGGGAATTGGCCGGGCAGTTGCAATCTTGTTTGCAATGGAGGGTGCCTCAAGTGTCATCGTCCATTTGCCAGAAGAAGAGTCGGATGCCCAGGAGACAAAAAAGAGAGTCGAACAATATGGACAGCAGTGCCATAGTCTCGCTCTTGATATTCGCAAGAAGGAGAATTGTCAAAAGATCATCAATTTGACCTTGGAAAAGCTGGGTCGCATTGACATTCTTGTGAACAACGCGGCGTTCCAAGACATGCTGAGCGATATCAGCGAGCTCGAGGAGTGAGTTGCCCCTACATAATTATTGCTCTCGGCCAATACATCTACTAACGTAACAAAAGAACCCAGTGGGAGAAGACATTTGACACCAACATTCATTCCTTCTTCTATCTTTCCAAGTATGCTCTTCCTCACATGAAGACGGGATCTACTATCATCAATTGCGCTTCCGTCAATCCGTATATTGGCCGAGGTGATCTCCTGGATTACACCTCGACTAAAGGAGCAATTGTCGCATTTACTCGCGGTTTGTCAAACCAGCAGTTGAAGAAGGGCATTCGGGTCAATTGCGTTTGTCCGGGTCCAAGTAGGTCCTCCATATCCCTATTCCAAGTCAAATGCTAACAAGACAAGTCTGGACGCCCCTGATTCCCGCAACAATGCAAACTGAGGCCATGGAACAGTTCCATACAGTGCCGATTGGTCGACCCGGTCAACCTAGCGAGGTCGCAACATGTTTCGTTTTCCTCGCCAGCCAGGACAGCAGCTATATTTCCGGACAGTGTTTGCACCCTAACGGAGGTATGATGGTCAATGGATAGGGGGAGCTGGGGAATCTTCCAAGGAATCAAGAATGCTGCACCAATGTTTTTAAAAAAACTGTATAGGTCGGAATTCACAGCATTTAAAACAACCTGATAGTTCCTGGCTCCTCATACCCCTACTAATCTACGCTGAGTACGTACACCGATCACCGCACCGTCTTCTCGAACTATATACTGGCTGTTACGGGGGGAAGAAAGCAGAGGAAGACTTATGATCTAATTACAACTAGTAACCTAGGGTTTATATAGTTACCCTGGTAAAACCATCTAAATAATACTTTGTCTATAGCAAATAAGTAACTATATATAGGATAATTAGTTTCCGACCTTTAGCCGGCATACGCCTTCGTAGGGTTTTTTAGGGTCTCTATTTAGCTCCAGGTTGAAGGTTATGTATATTAGAGAGGTTAGAGTAATCGGCTAAGTTATAGCGTATATCTAAAAAGCCCTAATAGAATATAAGCTTATTAATAAAATCATATTAACATTTTTATCTCCAGGGCTATAGGCTCGAAGTAGTAACCCTTTCCCCTCCTATTATAATCATATTTAAACAGAGGTTAAACGAGGTGAGCGAGTAAGTAAATCGTCCACTCTAGTATGTCGTAGTCTCTTTCGTGCCCGCATTCTACTTTCTGGTTACTTTGAACATGACCTCTACAGCGCACACGAACAGTCTCGGCACAGCCCTCCAAGTCCTTGCCTGTGCGGCATAGGGGTGCCTTCCAATTGAATAAATAAACCACCATAGATGGTGCCATGCATGCAGTATCTGGTATCTTAGTGTCGCTTGTTGGGATTGTGACTGTACACAACCACTCGAGTTGAATCACTCTGCTTCATCACCTTCCTCCTTGGTGTCTTCAACACCAGGTGCATTGGCAACAATCTTCTGGACAGCATCCACAGTCGCGTCTGGGCCACCGGCCTCGCGAAGCAAGACCTTACCCTTCTTATCCACGGCAAATACACCTCGCGTTGTACCCTTGGGAGATTTCTTGAACCCAATAGCTGCAATAAGAGTAGCCTTGGGGTCACACATGAGAGGGTAAGGTAGGTTTTGTCTGGTCTTGAACGTGGTGTTGGCCTTGGGGGAATCTCCTGAAAGACCATAGATAGAAAGACCAGTAGAAGTCAGGTGAGTGTGGTTGTCACGGAACAAGCAAGCTTGCTTGGTACCTGGATGGAGCGGTGTAAGCAGTCTGCTGGGAGTAGAATGATTGCAAATTATGACAAGAACACAGCCCGGTCCTCTTAAGAGAAGCACCCAGAATGACACGGGGACTTACAGCCAGGTGTTGAGGCTTTGGGGTATGTAAAGAAAACCACGCCTGATTTGCTCTCCTCAAGGAGCTGCTTCAAAGTTGTTTTTTCACCCTCGTTGGTCTCAAACTCGCCACCGAAAGCTTCTATGTCGATTGTATCATCCACCTCAGGGACCTTTGGCGCGGGGCCTTTTTCAATATCATTATCGATAGCATCTGCGTCTTGTTTGGGCTTGGGAGCTGGTTTGGTCTTTTTCTCTGCGACGGGGGGTGGGGCTGGCGCCTTGCGTTTCCTGAGTTCAACCATGATGTGGGGAAAAGGAGAAAATGTAAAGGACCGGGAGAGGTATATGTATTGAGTGGAGTTTAACAGGACGTTCTGGAACATATCAGCTGCATATGTGCCCGTTGCAGCTGCCCCGTTGATTATATAAGCATCTGGGCAGAAACCGGGAAAACCCGGTGGGACTGTGGCGTTAAGCTGCTGTGGCGTTCCGGACACGCCCTGGCCCTGACCCGAAGGGAAAAAAAAAATAAAAAAGGATTTTCCCCTCAGACGGTAGATCGTTAAAATCCACTCTTCTCCATTTTCTTCTACCTGACTTGCTCATATTTGCCTCCCGATTCCTTCTAGACTTGGACTTAAATCACCTTCTACAACACCTTCTTCACATATCTCTCACTTTCAACTTGAACCAGTCTTACCTCTCTACCTCGGCTTCATCAACACTACCAATTCCATCTCATCCTATCCGCCACATCGCTTGTCAAGGCTGTTCTTCCCTATCCTAAGATCACGCGACCCAACGGCATCGTTGAGGTGACCACTATGAAGGTCTTCTCTTCCGGGTGCACGTTCGACTACTCGTGGGACGAAGTATCAACGGCGAACTGGCGCAAATACTGTCCTTGGAATGATAAGTCTACACACGTCGTGGGCGTAGACACGCTCTCTCGGACCGTCGACCCGAGCACTGGCATTGTGAGTCATTCAACCTCGAACCAGAATTCTCAAAGTACTCCTGAATTCTTTGTACTAACCTTCTGCCTTTTAGTTGCGAACCGAGCGCCTTATCACGTGCGATCAATCTGTACCAAAATGGGTACTCTCGATTCTCGGTGGAACGAATACATCTCACGTCTACGAAGTCTCTTATGTCGATCCGGTCGCAAAGAAGGTGACCATGTGCTCCACCAATCTGACATGGTCGAACGTCCTCAGCGTCCGTGAGACTGTTATCTACCGCCAGTCCTCCCTCAGCCCAACCACCACAACTGAATTTAGCCAAGAAGCAAAAATCACTGCTCTCTGCGGTGGATGGCAAAAGATTAAGAACAAGGTCGAAGAGGCAAGCGTGGATCGGTTCCGTGAAAATGCCAAGATTGGCCGCGAAGGATTCGAAACCGTACTGGAGATGAGCCGCCGCGTCTTCGGCGAACAACGCGAACTTGAAAAGCAAAGCCTCCACAGTAATGAGCGTCCCATACTCTCGACATAATTTCCGCGACCTTTTCCCAACATCATATTCCATGTTTTCCCCACTCAGCATTCAACATCAAGCGACTGCATATCCCGGCGTCTGTTTTATATATTCGAGCATGTGGCGCTAAGCGGAGTTCTTTGTCTTAACCTGTCTCTTTTTCCAATTCTCGACTCTTTCAATCTTCTCATGAATACCACCTCTCGCCTCACGAAGCCGCACGGCCAAGAAAAGTTCTGGATTATGTTATTTTGAGCGAGTTGCCTTTTAATATCCTGCTTTTTGTACTGAGTAGCCCCGATCAAGAAGGCGGCACAGATGTATTATTAGAATCTTTCAAATTTAGACCTGAAATTCTATTATCGTACAACATTCAGCTCGATAAACTCGTATCTCATAAAAACCCAACCATATGTCCTGTCAAAAACTGACGCATGAATACCATACCCAAATATATAGCAGCTAAACCTTGCTGCTATCCCAATAAACCGCCAAGCACCACCCGACTGACCCCGGCAACTTCACTTTTGACAGTATTTCGGCTCGCGTCTTCGAACTCACGCACTGCGCCGGCCACCATGATCTTTCGTAACTTGGCATCTGCCTTGGAAAATGTCTCGCCCAGTGCCACTGTGCAGACAGCTGGAGATGATACTAGAGCGGCGAGCCTGCTATAAGTGTCAATTAAGACATCACAAAGTGTTGCAAATGTCTCAAAGAAGTCCGGCTCGAATGGCAACGATGGCGTGAGAAGATAAGTGTATTCTTCACCAGGATGAAGATCCGAAGACTCTGTGAGCGGGAAGGAGGTGACCGAGGCAGAGGAAGACGAGCCGAGATTCCCTGCCGTGTTCTTCAAGTCTGATGGATCACTGGACTGCATTGGAAGTCCGATCTCGTTTGCAGAACTAGCGCGTCGGGTCTTGGTACCTGCATGTGTCGCCCGCTTAAACATTTGTGGTATGCGGGCCCTTGCAAGACTTGACGAGGAGCTGCCGTCTGGGGGTGCACTGACTGGAATGCTTCGAACTCCAGTAGTAAAGCATTCAGGGCACGCACATATTCAAATGGCGTGGAATTAACGTCAAGTATTGTTGGCAATGACAAGCCTAGAAGCAAATAATTGATGGCGCGGCGAGAAAGTTTCCGGGCTTCAAAGTATGGCAGGCGAGCGATGTCAGCCCGGGAGAAATGCACAGTATTAAACCAATAAACTCGTCCTTCATGACTATACGTAGCGCAGTATGAATTAGTAGTGCTCAGGTCTGACTGGGGCTGCGATCCACTTACGCCTTTCTTAAATAGTCCAGAGTCGATATCCGTTTCGCGGCCATTTCATGGATGTGTTGATAGATTGCGCCGGCACTTTGCGGGCCTAGAAGGCCCCCTCCGCTGACAACTGGAGGCGGGATTCCATATGCCCCTTCATGTCCGCTACCGGACTTGGCTGTGTCCCGCCGCGTGATGCCTGGGGCAAATGTAGAGGGAATCATTGGCGTTGGTGGGCAATATCGGAGCGGAAGAACGAAGGTGGACAGGGGTCGCAGGACACGGCGGAGGTATCAGAAAAGGCGAGAGAGCAAGAAGCCCGATGTACCAGACTGATAGGGGAATAGGTAAGTCTCCAATGTATTCACGGGGTGTGTTTAAAGGTTCTTGAGACTCAGGAGATCCGAAGAAACATTTTGGTTCCCCGCAAGACTGTGATGCCGGAGATTACTGTAACCGTACCCCCTTTGTAATTTATCGTCGATCACATCCCCTCCCCCTCCTATACAATTCAAACTGTATACTTTGGAACAATTCTGAATTAGTTACAGAGTACTATTGTGAAAATGGACTCGACACCACCCGAGGAACAGGTTCCTCTGCCTGGACAGTGGCCTGCTGATCCCCAGGAGGATGTACCAATCTCAGAGGACAGACTTTGGGTCGATGGATGCTTCGACTTCAGCCACCACGGTAGGTTTGCAATTTATACCCAGTCAATTGTTCTGAGCTAATTGATGGGTTGCTCTACAGGTCATGCAGGTGCTATGCTCCAAGCGCGCCAGCTAGGAAAGGCCCTTTACGTGGGAATACACTCCGATCAAGCTATCCTCGAGAACAAGGGTCCGACGGTGATGTCACTGGAAGAACGGTTGGTTTGACCAGAAACTGGGATAGCTGCTAGGATATGATACTAATGTCACCTTTTATCTAGTGTCGCAGCTGTTGACGCGTGTCGTTGGGCAACTCAAAGTGTTCCACATGCCCCCTATGTGACCTACCTACCCTGGGTCTCCCACTACGGATGCAAATACGTTGTCCATGGAGACGACATTACTTCCGACAGTGATGGAAACGACTGTTATCGCTTCGTCAAAGCCGCTGGTCGCTTCCGTGTCGTTAAACGTACCCCGGGCATCTCGACAACCGACCTTGTTGGCCGTATGTTGCTGTGCACCAAAAACCACTTCGTCAAATCTGTGAAGGGTACACTCGCTGGACTGGAAGGGTATGGAAGCCCCGAGGAGCGCAAGGCTTCCGCTGCGGATCTTTTGCAGAGAATCAAGGATTATGCGACGGATGAGAGCGGTCTTCAACCTGGCCCTCAGGTGTGGACATGGACTGGCTCAGGCATCGCGAAGATGGACCACGCTGCCGAGGAGGCTGGCCTATTCGGGACGTTGGTCGATGGAAAGGGACCTAAACCTGGACAGAGGGTTGTTTATGTGGACGGAGGGTTCGACCTCTTTTCTTCCGGTCATATTGCGTTTCTGCGCAAAGTCACAGAGCTCGAGGAGTCCGAGGGCCGGCAACGTGGCTGGTATGAGCAAGACCAAGTTGCAAAGAGGTTGAAGGACCACGGCGAGGACTATGCGCCAACCTATATTGTCGCAGGTATCCATGATGACGATGTGATCAACCATTGGAAAGGCTTGAACTACCCAATCATGAACATTTTCGAACGTGGTCTCTGTGTTCTTCAATGCCGCGTAAGTTTTTTTTTTAATTTATTTTGGTTTGCTTTCATCTGTTTCATTTGCTAACCTTCGCCAAAGTACATCGATGCTGTCATATTCTCTGCGCCATTTACCCCCAGCGAACCATACCTCAAGGCAATCCCATGGGGCACTCCCGATGCTGTCTACCACGGACCCACGACCTTCATCCCGCTAACATACGACCCATACACTGCGCCCAAGAAGATGGGAATCTTCCGCGAAGCCGAGCAGCATGCCTTCCAACACGTGAACGCTGGCGAAATTGTTGGTCGGATCCTGAAAAGCCGTGAAGCTTATGAGGCCAGGCAACGCGCAAAGCTAGACAAGGCCATTGCCGAGGATCTGGTGAAATCACAAGAGACAGCTGAGGCAGCTAAATGAGCTCAGTAGGCTGGTTGTCGTTTTTCTGTGGGAAATACTAATCATGTAATGAAGATCAACTGTACATATGATACTAGACCTCATCAACTGGGGTTCCTCCTCATACAAGCGTCTGCCCTCGTTCGTTTGCATGGCGGCTTGTGACAATTTGGTCTACTGGAGCAGATAGATTGGAGATTACCTTCCATTTGTCAAATCAACAAAACAACTATCTGACCAGCAGGATATTAGGACCAGAATACATTAGAGACAAATAATTTTACAGAGACAGTCATCTATCAAATTGATAGGCTGACATCTTCCACTCGTGCTCGGCTTCTATTTATTCGTCCGCGGCAACCAGGACACCCTTGGCCTCTAGAAGTTTGGCAAGTTCACCATCCTGGTGCATGGACATCAAGATGTCACAACCGCCAACGAACTCCTTCTCGAGGTATAGTTGGGGAATAGTGGGCCACTCAGAGTATTCCTTGACTCCTGTAAACGCAGCATGATTAGCAATCAAAATCCGGGAGAAGTTCACTCGAGATAATTCCAACATACCTGAGCGCAGCTCCGCATCCTCCAGCACGTTGAAAGCGACAAACTTCTTGGGATCAACACCCTGCAGGCCTAGTATCTGGATAGAGGCACGGGAGAAACCGCACTGGGGAGTCTCGGGTGTGCCCTTCATGAACAGAACGACGGGGGCGGAAGAAACCGCCTTATCAATGGCCGTCCGGGTCTCGTTAGACAGAAGACGTGCATGTAGGATAGAGGGGATAGAAGGGCCCGAGGGGAACTGGATGGCCGAGCGGACGGGGCGCAAAAAGGTTGGCCGTGAGACCGGGCGGAAAGCCTACGGAATTCATGTGAGCTGGAGGATCTTGCGGAATAGAGAATATTTTTTATACGTACCGATGCAACTGCTCTAGAAAACATTTTCAAAATGGATGGGTAGTTTACAAAAGAAGAGGTTGACTTCGGGGAAAGGTCTGGAGGTTTAGTATTATTTAATCAGCGGTTGGTCCGCGGGTCTGACTGATCCCCACACCTTATTAAAGCTCTCTAGGGCTCTATGAACCAGTCGTCTTCATTTCTTGTCTTTTTTGTCCTTTTTTTTATTCGTCCTTTTGTTACAATAAAGATATTGCAATGGATTCTCAAATATCGCCTACGCCTTTTATTGCCCAGCAGTATACAAATGACAAGAAGATCCATGTGTTACTTGCAGCCGCTACCACCAAGCTACCCAACATTGCAGAGGCGCTATGTTGTAATAAAGACATCTCAATCCGCATTCTAGTCACTGATCCAGAGGAGAAGTTCATTGCTGGACAAAGTTCAGAGCAACCGGCCCTCGAAAACCTGTTGCAAATACATGGTGTCGACGCTATCTACCGGGACGAAGATGAATGGTCTCCATCGTGGACGCGCGGAGGACCGGTCTTACATATTGAGCTGCGCAAATGTCAGTGGCTATATAGATACATGATACATGACACAATGAACCAACTGACATCATCATAGGGGCGCATATTCTACTAGTTGCCCCAATGTCTGCAAATACCATGGCGAAAATGGCTAATGGGATCGCCGACAACCTGCTTCTCTCCGTCATCAGAGCCTGGGATACGACTGGGGTAGTGGATATGGGATTTAAGCCTCAGAAAACTATGATATTTGCAGCGTTGGACATGGATGCATGTGCGTACCGACATCCAGTGACCAAGAAGCAGCTTAAAGTTCTATGTGATCAGTGGGGATGGAGTGAATCAAACCCAGAAGGCTGGGTGACTGTGTTGCCTCCCATAGAAAAGAGCCGGGCTAGTGGAGGTGACGACACCGGAAGCATGATGGACTGGAGAGATATCGTCATTGCCATCCAAAACTACGTGGCGGGGTCGGTGCAGAAGTCGTGAAAAAAAAGGAACCAGGCCTTGGGACGCCTATTTATATTGTTACATGGTTATTATGTTGACTCGGCCACCATTCGCTCCGGCTCCGTCGTATTGTACAGACCAAGGTACTGCGTCGCATACTCGGCGAGCAAGCCCAAGGAAATCCCTCCACCGGTCAGCAGACACCCATTCCTGAACCACCACCAGCAGTTCGGAACACTCTTCAACTGAACCTTCCAAATCATGAGACCAAGCGACAAAACGGCACTGCCGCAGCTTCCAACAAAGAAAACAGGTCCGCAACCAGCAGCAACTCCTGCAGCCGCGAGGAGCGAGACCTGAGTCACCGCTAAACCACTCAGGATAGCCTTGGTGTTGTGCTCATGGCGGAGGGCAATTGACTTGATTCCGGCCTTGACATCGTCTTTAATGTCCATGTGTGCATAAATCATATCGTACAGAACTGTCCAAGCAATACAACTGGAATAAAGGGCACCTGCGGCCATCATGGCATCGTGATTGGCAAGCAAGTCCACCCCCAACGCTGGGAATCCCATGATCGCTCCCCATGAAAAGGCAAGACCCAAGACAGCTTGCGGGTAATTGGTCACGCGCTTAGCAAGGGGATAGGCCACCACGATAGGCATACTAGGAATCCCATACCAAAGGCACTGACTAGGGAATGAAAGAAGCACACCCAGCCCAGCCACCAACTGTGAACCTGTAAAGAGAACTGCCTTTTTCGGCGAGAGTGCACCTCTGGCAATGGGTCGGTATTTGGTACGTTCCACATGAGGGTCTAGGTTTCGGTCCCACAGGTCGTTGATTGCGCAGCCTGCACCGCGCATGATCAGCGCGCCGGAAAAGAACAGTGCTGCTGTGCCCAAGATAGGGAGAGGTGCCGCACCAGCCATTGGCGCAGCGAGGAGCGTGGAAAAGAGAGTCGGGAAGAATAGGTAGTATGTGCCCGTGGGCTTGTCCAGCCGCACCAATTCCGCATACGGTATCCATGAACTCGGCAGAGATGCAATCAAGCCTGTCTTCGGTGGGATATAGTGGGTGGCTGGGTTCTTTTCCGCACTCTCCGTCTCGATTGGTTGTGTTGCGGGCGATTGCAACTGCGAGTTGTGTCGGACTTGGACTTGTGTTCGCAAGGCATTGGATGAGGCACCAACGAGGGATCGGCTGCTTTTTAAATGCGTTGAGGAATAGGCATTGTGAGCGAGAGTGGAAAGGCGCCCATTGTATAGACCGGTGAGGTTGACCTTTTGCCTGTATGGGGATAGTCGAGCGCGGAAGAGACGGGAGCTGGTGGAAAGCATGACGAGAGCTGGGGGTGTCAATAAAGGCAACTAGTAATATTCATCTTCCTCTCAGAAGCCTTGAAGGTCTGGCTAACTGAAGATCTAAGATGTCGGGTTTTACATCGTCATGCAGGAAAAAGCGGCTTCGTTCCTCCGCCTAAGCCTATTTGGGGCACCAAATAGATCTACTTTGTATGGAGCCGCGCTGTCACGATATACTGAGACTAGCAAGTATACATTGAAATGAATACTATTAAAGGGCCTTCAAACAATATATTGACTCTTATTCCTTTATTCCTTTATGTAGGTAAAATGTACATATGTAGGCAAAATAATGAAATAACTGTGACGGGTTCCCAGGTTCACGTGTAAGTTTCTGCCTGAGGCCATAAAACGCGGCATCCCGCGTTCCCCCAGTTGATGATCGCCCGGTTTGAAGGGAATGAGCGACATCACTTTCTTTCACGTCACTCTATCTGATTTTACATGTCTTGACCCCCAATTTTAAATTAATTCTTCTACTCTTCTGTTCTATCTACTATCTACTGTGTACCTACCTCTCTTGCTCCTTCCCACTTGCCTCAGTTATCTCGTCCATCATCACGCCCGCACAACAGAAACAGCGAAAGACCACCCAACCCAATCCACCCAGCTAGTTGGCAATTCTCAGACTTACACAATCTCAACCACAATCTCAACCTTGGATCTGACCAGCAACTTTCTCTCTCAAATCATGAACTTCTCTCCCGCGAGCATCGCGCCGGTTACGAACATCAACTAAAAGTCGACACATCTTGCCCCTTCTGGGGCTCTGCGCTCACAATGCCGGCACATCGAACACGCCTGGCTTTCGAGCCACTCTCGCCTGTCCTTGATATTCATCGAGTTGTCGAATCAACTCCTAATTTTGAGTTTGCGATGGATATCACTTGTGACTCAATTGAGGAATTTCCCCTGGAGGACTTTGAAAGGCTTGTCCTGTTCCAGGTTGTCTTGAGCGGAAGACCATTGGTCATCAGAGGTTTCAATCGGCGCCTTGACAAGAGTCTTTTCTCGGAAAAATGGCTCCGAGAAAAATACGCGAAGAAAGGCGAGTTCGCGCTCTTGATCATTCCTCGTCGGTTAAAACTAACTGCGACGTCTCTTAACAGTCGAGGAAGTCCGGGATCTAGTCAAGAAGAAGACCCAAAACTTTAGTATGGGCCACTATCTGGAAAGCCTGTCACTGCTCACTCGGCAGGTGACCGTGGACAACTATGCAAACAAAGACATCCAACGGCTGTACCTCAAGGACATTGACTGCCCTCCCGAGTGGCGCGCGTATCTTGAGAACCTGTTACCACCTTCATTGTTCTACCTGAACGAAGCACCCAAAGCCTTTGAGGGCCCTGCGTCGGGAAAGACGAATATGTCCCAAATCCCCAAGTCCGCCCAAGGCGACCTCATCGCTCCAGCAGGCGATTTGATGAGCAGTCTGCCCCCAAAAATGCGTGCGGAGAACCTCATGTGCTACATCGGCCATGAGGGTACGTACACACCAGCACACCAGGAGATGTGTGCCAGTCTTGGTCACAACATAATGGTCGACGCATCCGATGGGTCTCCAGAAAAGGGCAAGCCAACAGAACCGGGTTCTTCTATCTGGCTCATGACAGAGACCAAGGACCGCCGTATCGTTTCCGAATACTGGATGTCTGTTCTTGGGCATGATATTGATATTGAGGATTTCTTTGCTCCCTTGCATGCGTGGGAGATTGCACCATTCAAGACCTGGGTGGTGGAGCAAAAGCCCGGTGACCTTATTCTTATCCCCCTCTTGCTGCTCACCAGGTTTGGAATCGCGGCACTCGGACGATGAAAGTTGCGTGGAATCGCACCACTGTGGACACGCTCGAGCTGGCTCTGCGTGAAGCTTTGCCGCATGCGCGAATGGTCTGCCGTGATGAACAGTACAAGAACAAAGCAATTGTTTACTATACTCTTGAGCGGTATTACAAATTGTTGCGGGAAGCAAAAAAGGTTGACCATCCAGCGGTGGTTCAGCTGTGGGACGATTTCAGACGACTGTTTGAGATGTACAAGAACATTTTGTTGTCTGAATCCTTCTCACAAAAGAAGCCAGAGAAGAACGTCGAGTATCACGAGTTCCAGAGCAATGTCACCTGCTCATTTTGCCGGTGCAACATCTTCAACCGGTTTCTTACCTGTCCTGGCTGCGCAAATTCTCTTGGCGGCGAGGAAGACCCTTATGATGTATGCATGGATTGCTACGTCATGGGTCGAAGCTGTGCATGTGTTTCGAACCTCAAGTGGATGGAACAATTTCAATGGAAGCACTTAACTGAGCGCTACGAGACATGGCGACGGCTGATAATTTCCTCTGACGAGAACAACAAGGGCTTGAAGGTTCAGTTCCCCACTTTGATTGTCGCCCGGGGTCAGGCAGGGAAAAAGTCTGTGGCGGAGATTTGCCAAGAGCAACTGATGCGCCGCCCCTGGAATGACCCCAAGAAGCCCAAGCGCGTGGTAGACAACACGATTGAAGAGACTGGTAGCGAATGCGAAGACAACGCTCGGTCTAAAAAGCGCCGCAAATTGCGGCAGTCTCGCATGGCAAAATCAGATGACGTCCACCGCTGTCACGTTTGCCTTCATTTCGAGGTCAACTGGAAGCTCGCACCTTGCTCGAACTGTGACCAGCGTTACTGTTATGGTAGTTTGTTCCGCGCATTTGAGATCTCCCCGCAGGCGGCCATGGAAAAACATCACTGGTTGTGTCCAAAATGCCGCAAGGAATGCAGCTGCGGTGCTTGCCAGCGTGACCCATCCATGAAACCCTATGAACCTAACTGCACCATTCTGGGCCATGACACCAGTAAGGTCGCCGATCCCCGCAGCATCGAAACCTTGGTGGATTTCCGGAAATCGAATCTGTGGTGGTTGAAGAAATTTGGCGATGATGTTCATGGACGCATCCAAAAACGCCAGAAGGAAGCCGAGGAAGCTGAAATGGAACGGCAGAAGACCCTAGAAGACCAGGGCTTCAGCTTCGAGTCAAGTCCGTTCGACCAGCCAGCACAAAACGGCAATGGGGATTATGATATTCCACTGGGCTTTGCTGAGAACGATGGGGGCATTCCCGTTGATCCATCATTGATGGTCGAGGCAGGCACTTGAATCAGCTCGACCTTTTTGCTGGGTTCGAGCACACGACAAGAGACCACTTGTATTCCAAGAATTACGACGAGCACTGAATATTTTGCGAAGGGGGTGTGAAATTAAGGAAATCGGATGTATGATTTGTGATTCCCCGAAGAGTTTATCTCTTCTGCGACACCATGGTTTAACAAAAATCTGGCTGTACTCTAATAATGAACATATGTATTCAAGTTGAAATCAAGTTGAATTCGTGAATTACTAACTAACTTGGCTAGGCACCTTTGTACTCGTACTGTAGATCCTTGAGGGATGCAAGGTCAACAGAGAGCATGACCTTTTGAGCGAGTAGAATCACTGCGAGCATGACTATACATAGTCAGACTCAATACCCCCCAACACAGAAAAGAAAGACTTACCTCCAGGAATCAAGTATACCACCGGTTGGATCCCATAAGATGATCCTGTAGAAAAATAGACCACAGCCAGCAACAAGCAAATCACACTGTTGCCAGGCACCAGAGCCGCATGAAGCCGAGCAATACGTTCAGTGTAGAAGGTCACAGGCTTCTTGCCTTTGCGATCAGGCTGCAGAGGAGAGCACTTCATGATATAGGCCGTTGTCAACAACGAAACGAGGCCGAGGAGCGAGAACAATTGTTCAGCCTGACTGGAAGCTGACAGCACCGAAGATGCAAATACTATAGCAGCCAACAGTGGAAGTGCAGTAAAGATCATCTGTGAACATGTTTAGCATTGATGTTCGATGGTAGAAAAGAGAGAGAGAGAGATTATGTACACTGTACTGGGCATTGCGAGCATCATTCTGCCTCTGCAACTGCTCGATAACCCGTTCTTGTTCCTCTTCATCCAACTCCTCTCGCTCACCCTCCGATTCATCAGGGTATCGAAACGCCTTACGCAATCTAACCGCAGCCATTTCTCGAAATCCGCAAACCAAAAAAAAAGTGTTGTATATGCTCAACCGTTGGCAGTGCAGCGCAGTGACGTCGAAAGGTTCAGGGTTGTTTGTCTTGTTTGACCCTCTTTTCTTCCGCAACCTCTCCCCTCCCCAAAACCAAACCAATCACCAGCCCGACAAAAACACGAAATAAACACCCCCAAACCCAGCAATGGTCTTCTCCCGAGTCTTCACGCGACGCCTCGCGCTCACCCGGCAATCCGGCCGACCCAACATCGCCAACCGACGCACAATGATAGCAGCGCCAGGCCCGAACACAGGACCACTACTTGAACGCCGTGCGGACCGCGAGCTACCGAACCCGAACCCAACGCGCAAATGGCTCCTCACGCTCCCGATCTTCATTATCGCGACGGGAGCAGGCATGCTTGGAATCTTCAATTACCAGAAGTCGTCGTCGAGTATCGTGAATAGCACGCTGTATGCGCTGCGGACGTCGCCGCGGGCTCGTGAGATCTTAGGTGATGAGATCTACTTCGCGCAGCAGATTCCTTGGATTAGTGGGGAGATGAATCAATTGCATGGTCGGATTAATATCTCGTTCTGGGTTAAGGGGACTAAGGCCCAGGGCAAGATGAGGTTCCACAGTATTCGGCCGGATCGTATGAGCTATGTGAGTTTTTTTTTTGGATTTATTTGGGTTACGATGTGTTATGTGTTCTGTGTTATGTACTAGTTGCTGACTTCTTTCCTTTCTTTTCTAGTTCCGTACTGAGGAATGGAGTCTCGAGACCGAGGATGGAACGGTAGTTCAATTGCTCGACAAGGATACCGATCCTTTCCGGAAGAATTGAATATTGAAGGAGAGTGTACAGATACAGCAGTGCATTGGCTCGGGCGTTTGGGGACATTCTTTATAGGACCATTTTGTTGTGTTATCAACTTGGCGAAGCCATTGTTTTTTTTGTTCTCTTTCTTCTCAATGGCTTAAGAGAAAAACAGGAAGAAGGATATCATTTTTTGTATCATATACAAACGCCGCTCAAGTCAAACAATATCGCGCGTATGGTGTAATAGTACATGGTCCGAACTAAGAAAAGAAATCTCCAATTAAGCAGTAGCAGCTTCCGTGGCAGCTTCCGCCGACTCTGCCTGTGGCACTTCCGGCCATGGCTTCTTGATCGCATCCTGGATTCTCACAACACAGCCCTTGGGACCGCTGACGGCACCTGAGGAAGAGAAGATATATTAGCAAGAGGACTCAGAAAAGGCTTAGAGCAGCTCGAGATCAGAATCACATACCACTGACAACCACAATACCATTCTCAGAATCCACCTTGAGAATCTTCAGGTTCTGAACAGTATTCTGGTTATTACCCATGTTTCCCGCCATCTTCTTTCCGGGATAAACACGAGAACCACCACCCTGACCAGGACCAGAAGAACCCATGGAACGATGCGTCAAACTAACACCGTGACTGCGATCCTGACCATGGAAACCGTGTCTCTTCATGACACCAGCAAAGCCCTTACCCTTAGTATTGGACCTAGCATCAACAAACTGGCCCTCCTGGAACCAACCGGCCTCAATGCTCTGACCAACGGGAATAAGCCCCTCCTCATCCTTAACCCGGAACTCAAAGATATGACGCTTAGGCGAGAGCCCATTAACGGAGAAATGGCCAAGCAACGACTTGGTCACATTACTCGGGTGTTTCCAGCCCGCACCAACCTGCACCGCATAGTAACCGTGTCTCTCACGGGTCTTGTGGGAGATAACCTCAACGCGATCCAGCTGGAGGACAGTGCAGGGGATGCGCTTTCCAGACTCCGGATCGTAGATAGCAGTCATGCCCTTCTTGATACCGATAGCGCCAGTGCGGAGGGGGAGGGAATTGGCTTTGCGGCGGAGAGCCGCTGTCGAAGTCGACTCGAGGACTGGTAGCCCCGGGCCGATATTGAAACGACTGGGTTTGGGCGGGTTGAGGGATCGGATTCCGAATGAGCGTACGGGGATCCGTGGTGTGATCAATGGAGCTCCCCATACGGGTGAGAGCTGAAGTAGCCCTCCTAAACGCGGCGACATGGTGGATTTGATATTGGGAGGGGGAGATCGGGGGTGCTCGTCGTGGCTGAGAACTCGGGAAGTTTTTGGTGTTGGGCTTAGTCAGCGTATATGACCCCGAAGTATATAAAGTCAGAGCTGTCCATTGGGGGTTAGGGGATAGGATAGTTACAAGTGGGATCTTGATCTTGTACAGATAATAGCAAAAAGAAAAAAGCAATAGAACTCATTCGAATATACCATCTACCATCTACCATCTACCAATATACAATACCAACAGAACCCGCATTAATCCCTAACTCCGACATACACACGCCAACCCGATCGGACCGGAAGCCGAAAACGCCGAGAGAAACAAGGAAAAAAAAAAAAGACCACGAATTCCATGTCCTCTCCAGACTCAACACCCCCAATTCCTTCAAATCAAACCAAACCCCCTTCAATCCAGAACAGGGGGAAAACACCAAGCAAGCAAACCTACCATGTCCCTCCGCCCAACCCTCCTCCCAAAATGGATCTCGCGCCCTAGCGAGATCCTCAAAACCCCAAGCATATCCTCATACCTCCACCCCTCGACCCGACCATCCTTCGCACGCCGCAGCACAATCTTCGCGCACGGAACACAATCCGCACGTCGGAATCTCACGACAGCGCGCTTCTCGACGCGCGCCCGGCCCACGCAGCCACAGCCGACACAGAGCTCGTTCCAGTTCAAGCAGCGCAGGTTTAATTCCGGGTCTGCTGGTGATGGTGCCACGGGATCCCGGGCTGGATCTGGAGCTGGAGCTTCGGAGAAAGCGTCGCTGTCGCAGCGGTTGAAGAAGCTGTCGCGGGAGTATGGATGGGCTGCGCTGGGAGTGTATCTTGGACTTTCGGCGCTGGATTTCCCGTTCTGTTTTGCGGCTGTGCGATTGCTTGGTGTTGAGCGCATTGGATATTACGAGCATGTTGTTATTGGGTTTGTTAAGGATAAGCTCAAGACTGTGTGGCCGCAGAATAAGAGTCCTGAGACGGAGGATGGGCAGGGGCAACTTGCTCAGGCTGAGGAGCGGAATGAGGAAGAAGCTAGTAAGTTTTTTTTTTGGTTTTGTTTTGAGGGTTGGGGTTTCTAATTGGAGTTTTTTTTTTCTCTGCAGGTATCTGGACGCAGTTGGTCTTCGCTTATGCCATCCATAAGAGCTTTATATTTATTCGAGTGCCGTTGACGGCGGCGGTGACGCCAAAGGTTGTGAAGATCCTGCGGAGATGGGGTTGGGATATTGGGAAGAGGAAGCCCAAAAGTACGTGAAGGTGATGTTGATTATGTAGCATAGCGGGAGATATAGGACTTGGGATTCGGACCATTGTACATTATTAGCCATTCAGCTCTCTCTAATACGGCAATCTTCTTTTTTTTTTTTGGTTGCCTTCTCCTCTCAAACGCTTTCCAGACGATCTACATGTAATCAACGACCCCAAAACCCCAGACAAAGCCCAGCACCATCTCTAGCGCCCAAGATGAGATAGAAAATGACAAAGATGGAAATCAATAAAGAGAAAGTCGCATGCTGGGGGACTATCTCTGCTGTTTGAAATAACTAGCCAGGAGCAAAAGTAGAGAACATGAAAATGAAGCAAGTATGACATGGCAAAGGCTACCAAACCTCGTGATATTCGTTGTTGAAATTAAATTGCGAACGTATGTAAAGGGTGTATCTTCCCGAAGGAAAGCAAAGGTGAATCGGATCACATATCGATCATATCGTTAAATCTCAGAATGCCGTTGGCTCTCATCACGCCGTTAACGCCGTCGGGCATGCGGTATGCCCAATCGGCAACGCCCATGGTATCGGTGGCGGGTAGCTCCTCAAATCTGTCGGACTGGCTGACATCATCAGAAGTGTCGGCCACAAGCACAAGACCGAGCTCCTTAATGGTTTCGACGAGTGCGGGAACAACATTCTACACAGTGGTCAGTAGGCGAACTAGAGGGAGAAGAAAGACAACGCGGAAATAGGATCGAACATACCAAAAGGCTAGATCTGCAGATCAGGCCCATAAAGTTGTTGCTCTGGGCAATACGAGCAGACTCCTTGATTGACATCGAGGCCCGGCCACTGCTATTGACATGGGGCATCGAGTCGACGTTTCCAGCCAGGTCACGGATTTGACCAAGATCGTTGCAAAGAAGAACAGGATCTAGTAATGGAGTTAGTACCACACACAAGTTTTTGGAGTCGAATTCCAAGGGAACTCACAATTGGGTTGCTTCCAGTTGAGCGCACTGCAAATGTTCGGGTTATAGGAGGTGAATACCACGGAACGCATGAACTCTGGGTTCTTATCACGGGCCACACGGGCGTGGTCGAATACATCGGTCAAGATAACGTCGGCAAAGCTGTTAACATCCGCCAAAGAAGTCATGCCGAGATTCTTCTCCTCGGCGGCCGATGGGTAGAGGAGGGAGATGTTGACATTCAAGTCAATAGGGAGTTGGCGTAAGATATCGCTTAACGACAAGAACGACGCCGCCAGAAGTCGATGGGTCTGCGGCATGTCATTTGTCGCTTCTGTTTCCAAGAACTGGAGAATCTTAGGGTGGTCGGCACCGCTCTCTGCGCCAATGGCCTGGAACTGGGAATATGTCAAATGAGACACAGGGATGTCGACTCCGTGGTGGTTGATCATAAATTGCGGGTAAAGGACTGCAACACGGTCCCGGGTCAGTTGTACAAAGAGCTGAACATAATCTCCCGACAAACTGGAACCAGTCACAAGTCCATTGTGCTCTGAGTCAAGGGCACTAGTGGCCTTCCAATATGTAGCAAAGTGTGTGATCTCTAGAGGATCGCCGTGGTATGGCTTGATAACTTGGAAGTTGAAGCGCAGCTGGCCGATTGTACGGAGGCGGGGGGTCGAATAGAGGCAGGCAGCCTGATCCAGTGCTGGAGGACTCGGCGCGGAAGATGTCGGGCAGGGCCACACTCTTTGCAATCACCTTTGAACCAAAGGTAGGGAAGATCTCAAAGTCCACAGCAAAAGTGTCCAGGTTATCCACGTGGAACGATATTGTGCGTGTCTCCTCCTGGATGGGTAGCATCATAGTACGAGGAATGAGATCTGACAGCTTGGAAGAGATGGTCATGCGAGCAGCAGGGTGGCGGCCCGCCTGATCAAAGGCGACAGACCCAACATTTCCTTGATCGAACAGAAGCTGAATGAATACCTTCTTGTCGAGGAAGTTGTGGCCATAACGGCGAAGAGGGATAATGGGAGGAGGCAATTCGAGATCCGGGATACCATCAGCCATTTCCAATTCAGGAACGCTTGCAACCACGGACATTGTGCCGCCCATCGGGCCGGGTTCTTGCATTCGCACGCCATTGAGAATGTCAAGCGGTCCCAGTGAAGGCTTGCTCCCGGAGGGCTGGGCCCAGAGGAGGAGCATGCACTCCAGATGCCCTTCCCAGGCAGCATAGTACATAGAGGAGAGACCCTTTTCATCTGGAACCTGGGCATCAACCCCGCACTCAAGAAGGGTGCGTAGGCAGGGGACGCAGCCTTCGCTGGCGGCATGGAACAGCGGAGTCCACTGGTAAAGCTTGTCCTTCTGGTCAAGATCAGCACCGTGCTCCTTCAGGAGTAATAGTAGCTCTGGCGATTGTGAGGCACGTGCAACCATATGCTGGGGATAGAGACCCTCTGCATCCGGCAGCAACTGCGCATTTCGCTCAAGGAGCATCTTGGCGATGGGGAGAGAACCGTGTTGACAGGCGAGATTCAGAGGGATATGATCCGGGCCCCTCAAGGGACGAATGTCCATGCCCTTCAAAGGGGGAGACTCGGGCTCTGGGTCGACGCGGGCATTGTTACGCAGAACCTGCTCAGCGCATGCCAGCTGGCCCTTTACAATGCTGTGGATTAGAGGGGTAAAGTTGTCATGGTCCATGACATCGACGGTATGGGGGCCGGCTGCGAGCAGATGTCGCACCATATCCACACGGCCGTGCATGCACGCATAATGGAGAGAGGATTCGACCATAGACATCGGCGCGGGCAAAATCCACGGAGGCCTTGAGACCGGCATGGAAGACAAATAATCGGCCCGAGATGGCCGATTCATGAAGGCAGTTTCGTTCGTTGATGTCGTCCTCGGCATGTATGTCAACCAGTTGACTCTCCAATAGCAAAGCGAGCACTTCATCCGAGAACCCGTTGATGGCAGTTAGGAATGTACGGGTGGCTCGTTCACGGGCGTCCGGAAACTGCTGCAACCTGGCCAGCCATTCACGTAGGGTTTGCAGATTGCCGGTGGAGGCTGACTGCAAGATCTGGTTGTCCATTTCATCCTCTTCCGACCCCAAGGGTGCGGTGCGGTCCAATGGACGTGAGGCGTCATATTGAATGTTCTCGCCCTCGGCCCAGGCCTCCAACTCCAGGCGTGCGGTAGTAGCTCTATCCGCAAGGTCCCGAAGAACTTCACGATTGAAGCATGGTTGCACTTCAACGGCCCGGTGCAGATACAGCTCTTTCATGCGAGACTTGGAGGTTTTGTCCCACTTCTTGAGGATTTTGGACATGGCAGTCTCATTGATCTCAACGAATTGCTGTAGTTTGTTCAGGTCGCCATCAAATTGTTGGAAACCTTCAAACATAGCAGCAAAAATCGACGGTGCTTTGGAATTTGACGTGGCCCGGGACTGAGTCACCCGTTTCTTGTCGACCAATGTCCTTAGGCGCAAAGAAAACTAAAGAAATATGATGAGTCCCCGGATAGAGTTATGAATGTGCACTGGATGAATGGTCATACCTCTGATTCTTTCTGGAGGTAGAAAGTGTTCACCTTCTCAATCTCTCGTTCCTACACGTCATGGTAAGTATATCCATCTTCCTATATGCTGGAAATGATTCCGACAACTTACCAAGCGGAAGAAGAACACCTCCTTGTTGGCGCGCAGGGCACCTTGGGGGTCCGCATTAGCTCTTGCGATTTCCTCGGCTGTTCTCTGTGCCGGGATAGTCGGGGTGGCGCTGAGTTGCTTTATCAGCTGTGAAGGAATTAGCTGTGATCATATTTCCTCGTCAGCGGGGTGGGACGTTAAACCAACCTTCTTCAGCGCCTTGTAGTTAACAAAGCTGGCGGCATATTCAGGAAGATCTAGCTGCCTGCGCTGGATCTGTTTGCCGAACTTCCTATCGAGTCAGAGCATATCAGTCGCAGCTCTAGGGATAAAAACAGGTGGTAACAGGAGCAACAGGGTGTGCGTACATGTTTTCACAGCCTCGGAGAGAGCTTTAGCTCTCCCGAGCTCTGGAGACCGAGATCGTAACAGTAGCGCAAGCTCAGCGAAACAGCGCTGAGAGGTAGGAGAATCAGAGCTTTTGGAGCTGACTGAGAGAGAGAGAGAGAGAGAGAGAGAGGAAGGGTATCAATGGAAATGAAGAAGAGAAAGAAAAAAAAAAAAGAGACAGGGTGGGATGACAAGGACACGTTTGGGAGGGAAACCAAAGTTGGTACTAGGCTTCCTGGGGCAAGAGGGGGCGTTAATGCGCTATCCCAGTGGGGAAGAATAATAGTGGGACAGGCAAAAGACGGAGTGACACAGGTAGATAAAAGGTGTGACCTGGTTGAGATGGATTTTGCCAATATATCAGATCAAGGGATTAGATGCTTAAGAGAGTATCATCAGAAGTTCTGGAGGGTCGAAGCGGGTGATAGAGAGATAGAGAGAGATAGAGAGAGATAGCGGGGCAATAAGAGTCAAGAGAGAGACACAATGTGGACATGTACAGGGACCAGGTACAATTCAAAATGGTTAAGGGCCCCCTACGGGAAGGTCAGTATAGTTCGAAAGAGAAGGGAAAAGCTGCGAGGTGCAATTAAGCCGGGGAGTGGGGAGCTGTGTGAATCATTCATCGCCAATCACCGTGAACAGCGGACGCACGTTGTTAACTTACTGGTAGCCACCACAACGGAAATGTACCGAGAACTTTGGCAATTCTATGCATAATTATCTGTTTTTAATATAGATACTGGTGGGTATTGATACATATTTACTACCCTTTACGGAGTTAGTATCTTTTTTAGTTAAAAGTAAATCACTATAATATACATTATCTTGTACTCCGTACAATATAGTTTAAGAGAGGTACCGCTTCTATTCTGCCAACTTTCTCCGCGGAACTATATCTCCCATCACACAACTACGTAGAAACCATTCAATCTAAACCTTTCATTTCGGTGGACCAGATACAAAGACTTCAAGGGAAACACCCGAGGTATCATTGCAAAATCTCGAGTATGTCCAGGTGCATGGAAAACTCCACACTCAAACAGAAAAATGTACAAGATGCAGCTCCTTACAATTCCATGTCCGAAGACATGAGCAAAAAAAAAAAAAAAAAACAATCAACACAAACATAAACGGGTGTGTGTAAACACAAAAGGCGAAAACAAGCTATGCAGCTGAGACCAGATGCGCGGGATATATCAAACAGATGACCAAACCAAATCAAAGCCCGACAGGCCGATTAAGAGGGTGGAGAGAGAGAGAGAGAGAAAGGACAGGAAAGGAAAATAAAGGTGTAGAGGATAATAGAGACATGAAGTGAAGGTCCATCGCGCCGGGAATTGGAACATGAGAGACCCGAAAAGGTAAAAAATAAAAAAAGAACGAATGAAATCGGCGGTGGTCGAGATAGAAAGAGTGTGTGGTATTGCGCAAGTAGAAAACAAAAAAAAAAAAAAAAAAAAAGGAAATGCCGAGCTTTTGTAGATCAAAGATTAAATCTGAATCGGTCGAATCATCAGAAGTTCTGCGCAATACCGGCATTACCCTGTCGTGGATAAACACCGGGGTTCTCGATGCGGGTATTACGACGCGCCTGAACATCACGGATCACAGGCTGGTAGTCATCGCCACCGTATGCGCCGTGAGTGTTGATGTCGCCATAGTACGGGTTCTCCCCGTAGTAGCCAGCTGAGGGGTGGACAGCGGACATGTGACTTTCCTCCGACGCGTCGGAACGGTTGGCTGCGGAGTAAGCAGAGGATGCATTGGAGGGACCGCGGTGGATGTCACCGTTGCGGTTGTTCGCAGCCACTGGGGCGGCACCCAGCACGCCAATGGGTTCGACAATCTCGCCAGAATCAGGCCGAGTACCATCGGAATATTGAACGGTGCCTTCGCTGGGTGTTGCGCCGTGGTGATAACCGGGGCTGCTTCCGTCCGACATGGCCAGGCCACCCATTCCACTGGAGAGGTTGGTGGACGCCTTGCGCCCGGCAGAGGTGGTTCCCCAGCCGCGGTAGCCGGAGGATTGGTCATCTTTGGGGAGAACAACGCCTCCCATACCAGGAAGGGTTGGGTCGTTGTTCGGGTTAAATCCGTACTCCTCCACTTCCTTGCGGCGCTCTTCCTCGGCCGCCTTGTTCGCCTTACGCTTACGCCAGAAGAAGAGCAGCGCCAAGATAATCAATGCCACCGAGACAACTGGGACAACGACTGCAACGGCGATTGTTCCGCTGGGAGAAAGACCGCCGGAGCCTGCTGCTGAGGTGGAGGTTGCGAGCGCGGCCGAATCGGTTGCGCTGGAAGAGATGGTAGCCGAGGCGTCAGTGTTGGCCGCTGTTTGGGTAGACGTGACAACAACTACAGTAGTTCCATGTGACGATGTAAAAGTTGTCTCCTGGGCACTTGAAGTGGTGGACGGGGCGGTTGTAGTGGAAGAAGTGGTAGAAGTGGATGAGGCGGTAGTGGACGAAGTAGACGTAGGCTCGGGCGCGGGGGTCGACGTGGTAGGCTCGGGCGCGGGCGTGCTACTAGTACTGCTCGTAGAGGTACTGGTGGTAGTCGGTTCGGTTGAAGTAGTGGTAGGAGCAGCCGTAGACGAAGAGGTTGGTTCGGTTGAAGAAGTGGTAGGTTGGGTGGGAGGTGCTTCACTGCTGGTCTCGGCAGCAGAGGGCGAAGTCTGTGCAACGGTGTCTGCGGCGGTTTCTGCGGCGCTGGCAGCGATAGATGCAGCCGCAGCAGCAGCGCCTTTGGATGGTGAAGCCATCTTCAATAACAATTTTTGCCAATGTTGGTTGTCGGTCACAAATAAGTGATCTCCGGTGAGATTGGCGGTTGGGATCGAAGTGATCCTGAGTCGGGAGAACGTTCGGCGAGTTTTGAGAGATTAGAGACACTTCCGGGTGCGGAAATAATCTCGGGCTGAATGAGACTGGGGGTCACAATTTCAAGTATCCGAGTTAATAGACTGATTTAACGAGAGACTGCGACTTTGAACGCGTAAGGAGAGAGATGTTTATGGTCGGGGAGTCTCAGGGGAATCTCGGGAATATCTCAGGAACTGATCGGAATAGAAAAAAAGAAATTGAAAATGAAAATGAAGATAAAAGGAAAATTGAGATGGATGAAAAAAAAAAAGAGAGAAGAATACTCACAATCTCTCGAGGCCGAATCTAGCAGCCATGGAGAGGAAAGAAGTTGTGTGGGAGAGTGAGATTGAAGTGGGAAAGTGGAGATTTCTTACTGATTGCGGCGTATCCGCATTCCTAGTTGTATTAATAGATACTTGGGGTTTACATATGTTTTGCTTATAATTGACTTGTACTGTAGTTACTGTAGTATATACTGTCGTACTCTGTACTCCATCAAAGCAGAGAGATGCTCATTTATGCGACGCTGGAAGTTGCAGTTGCATCCCCCCCGCTTGCAACAAACATGGTACTGTTTCTAGTAATCCCTTGATCCGGCCATGCGACACCCCTGACCATAAGGCTAAAGGACTCGAATACTCTGTGTTATGTTGTACACTCTGTTACCCTCTAAAATATTCTGAAAACAAAATATTTCCCCGAAAATAATCCATCTTGAATCCCAATATTTTAAATGTTAGATGGTGATTATTTGGTACCGAAAAAAAAAAAAAAAAAAAAAAGAAAAAAGAAAACCAGAGAACCGAGCTGAGAGTACCCGTGGGTGTTAGGCCTAAAGTAAGGAAGCTCCGAGGCTACCCAGGTGAATTCCAAGGTTATATCTTCCAGATGTCTCTTAGACGGAGCAGTTCGTATAAAAAGAAACAATCGATGATGCAGGGTGTATTCAGTTGCCACAATATGATTATCCACTTCTTCAACGGTTTGGTAGTCAACAATACCTTACGGGGACTCTGTACGGGAATATATATATCTGTACAAATACGGAGCTAGTCTATATATGTACCTGTATGTACCGGATTTTAGGCCACGGTCGCGAATTTCCCGATCGGGGTGCCGCCGCTTTTATGAGGGCGCTCAGGCTCCTACTCACTGAGTATTTCACAGCACGGGTGATGACTGTGAGCACTTAGGATATGCTTAGTAATGTACAAAATATTGCTCAGTGAACGCTCGGGGTATACCCAGCGAGCACTCAGATTGTAGGTTTGCCCAGTGAGCACTCAGATTGTCCAATACGTTCATATACACCGGATTTTAGGCCGTGTGATATAGCTTTCCCTTTCCGTATTTTGATCACTAAAACTGACCCGTGGACGTCCCTGGTTATTCCGTAATCATTCAACTCGTTTGCAGAGCATGACCTGAACACTCTTCCGGAATGGAGGTTGCCCCCTACAATATTACCGTTGAACTTTCCGTTACCTCTTCCACCTAGGCAGTTAACTCCCTATAATGCTGATATACGGCGGGTGGGTCACACGGCAGCAGGCAGCGGGTACGATCACCTAAGCTTATCGGAAATCCACTTGAATTGGCTTATCGCGCCTATACGGTGATGACTATGAGCTAATGCTTCGCCCTCTTAAGAATAAAATTGTATTTAGCCTACGTATGGAAGAAACGAGATAGAGGAAGATAGTAGAATTATTGGCGATACCGAGCGAGCGTAGAAGGACAAGACTGTAGTACAGTAAGACAAAAAAAGAAGGGGGCGGAGAGTGAAAAAAAGAGACCAAGGCCAGGATTCGAACCCGGATCGCTGCTGGAGCAAATCAGGGTGCTCAGGTCTTATGTAATACTCAGGAACGTGCTCAGTTTTACTCAGTAAGCAAAAAGCAGCTAGGGGTGAGCACTAAAACGGAAAGGGAAATCCAACTTGCCCAGCCTAAAATCCGGTGTATAGGTATGTATGTTGTACGGAGTAAAGTACATTACTATAATTAAAAAGGCAAAAAATACGATCGGCGCGGACAATCTTGTTTTATGCGTCTAGCCCATTACCATTAACCCGTTAGTTGATCTCTCATCCCCCTGACTTGTTTGGTTGGCGCTCGGCCCGGTTTCTAGTTTCTAGCCCCCCAACTCCCAGCTTCTCGTACACATACGTAGCTGGACGCCTAATTGTGGAGTGTTTTCGGAGTTCCGAGTACAAATATCCGAAAGTACAACATAATTCGTAGTATGCTGTACTCCGGATCTTCCATCTGATATGTTCTAGAACAACGGAGTACGAAGGACAGAGACCTAATATATACAGCCCAAAGACCGGGCAGAAGAAATGAAATTTCAAAAGTAGTCACGGGAAAGAATCCGACCATCATCTATTTACGCCGTTGATAGCAGATTTCCAGACAAAAAAAGGGAGAACAGAGGAATGAATATAAAAAAGGGGGTGATGAACCATCAACCCCCCCAAAAAAGCTCAAGCACCGGGGGACCCAGATGAGAAACAAACAAAAAATCAAAATCATCACATGCTCTTATACAAGTACCAAAACAACAAAGTCATGACATTGGAAAGTGACTGGTTCACTTGCTTATGCGTTGTTCATATCCCACTTCGGACGCAGACTGGCCATCATGTCGTCCTTAGTACCGACGGCCTCGGCCGGCAGACGACTGACACGGTAGTTGCCCATGCGGATATTATTTTGGTGGTTAGTAGAGACGGCAGTCCGAGCACTACGGATACTACCCGCATCGCTGCCGGAACCACCCTCGTTCTTGAACCGGGGCGGGGGCACAAAGTCCAGGTTGGTGAACGTGCCGGACTTGCGCAGGGCATAAGGACTGGGCATCACGGCGAGCTCGTCAAAGGCAGAGGCCAGTGGCGTGTGAGCACGTACACCAGGGACGTACGGGCGCATACCACCGGTGGGTGTCTCGGGGCGACCAGCCCGACGGTCCTTGAATCCATTGGCCGGGGCAAAGTCCATGGCGCTCATGAGGGAGTCATCCGTCAACATGTGAGGAGTAGGAAGGACTTGCAGCGGCGACGGGGGTGGGATTGGTTTCTTGGGGCCGCGTGGACCGGGCATACGGCCGGAGGCAGACGAGAAGGCGCGTGGGCTGGGCATGCCATTGAAGCCAGCAGAGTTAGTGGCCATATGGCGGGCGGCTCCCTGGAAGCGTGGAGGTGCGCGAGGCGGCGGGGTCATCGCGCGACGAGTGATCGGCTCGGCGAACGGAGCAGCACCATGACTGCTATCATAATACTCGCCGGTGGTGGGGTCGTAGATGAAACCAGCAGAATTACCGCCGCCCTCATAGAACTCGGGCCCGAAGTCCTCATAGTAAGTGGGCTCCTGCGCCCCCTTGCTCTCATCGAAGTACTCCTTGTAGAAGGAGCGAATCCGATTGGCACGCTGTTCTGGGTTGTCGGCGGGGTCTTCTGGGGGCAACGGGCGCAAACCGAGAGTCATCCGGCGGGTATCGCGACGGTTATCATACACGGCATCCAGATTGTGAGGTTCCTCTGGAAGTTCTGCGTGCCTGTTATCGTAGCCTGGGGCATCATGTTGCTGTACATCTTCTATGCCATGGATGTTGACCGCAGGGAGATTGTATTGCGACTTGCGGTCATCGCCGTAGTCACTACTGGTAATAACGCTGGCCGGCAGGGAAATACGAGGAAGCTGTGATGCAGGGGCCTGGTCATGGTTCAAGTCTCGTGCTTGCGAAGGGTCGGGCAGCGGGAAGTTGAGGCGCTCTTCATGCTGGTTGTTATATGTGTTGCCATATGTATCATCCAGTCCAAAGTTCAGGCCTGAAGAGGAATCCAGATGGGGGAGGGGCTCTCGGTTGGCATTGGGACTTCCAATAGCCATGCCGGGTTGCTGTGCGGCAGGTGGAGGCGTGACTCCGGGAACTTGCCCAAGGTAGTCATTGTGCTGGTTCGGAGGACTGCGTCCATGAGATTCGATAGGGGAGGAGTACAGCGGCGGGGATGAACGAGACATCCTCTGTGCATTCTGAAGAAGACCTGAATTGCCGTCATCGACATCTCCAAATTTGGAATTTCTGGGGTACGACCGAATGGAGGCAGTGGCTGGACGGTACTTGTCATCATCTATTGACATGGACCGCAGAGTCTCGGGGAACCTTTCAGGTTCGGAGGCATCAGATATGGACCGACATCAAGAGACAATCCTTTGGTATGGGCTGGTTGTGTCATTGGGGGCATTCCATTGGGACCTTTCCTCTTGGTGGCAGGCCCCACTGTATCCATTCCAAAATCGAGAGATTTATGCTTATCCATTGCATCTTCCCGTAGAAGTTTCTTGACATGTCTCCGGTGAAGCACAAACAAAACGATAATAGCACACAAAATGGGAACTCCTGCACCAAGAACGACAGGCAAGACGGTGGTTGTCAGATTGCTGGTGGGTTTTGGTCCCGCGGTCGACGTAGATGATTCGGATCTTGCCACCAGAGATGGAAGCTGTGTGGCTATAGAGGAGGGACTAGGGAGCAAAAAGGGCAATCGATGTGAAGGGATGACATCCCGACGAAAGTGGTGAACATGAGGCATAGTCGATGTAGTCTGGTCTATAGGGATAGACCCGACTTGTCTAAAACGTGAAGAGCGATCAACACGTTGAAAATGGCGATAGCCGCACAAGATTGATGCTCGTCATTTAAATTCGGGTCACACAGTTCAGAAACCACAAATATCCGAGAACAAAAAGAGTGTAATAAGCAATGTAAATGCAGTGTAAATGAGTGTACAGGACTAGGTCCTCGAAAAAAAAAAAAAAAAGAGCGGCGGCCAGCAGCCAAAAGAGAATGAATGTTAAAAGAGAGAGAGAGAGAGAGAGGAGAGAAAAGAGGAGAAGGAGGAGAGAAGAGTGAGTTCTAGAATGACGGACTAGCGCCAATATTATACAGAGACTTTTGTATCGTACAGGTACTCTCCGTACTCTTCGTACTCTCTCTCTCTCTCTCTCTCTATCTCCGCATCTCACCCCTGAGTCTTAATTTAGAACACCCTGAATTTCGATGGAGTATTATTGTTATTGTCTCAGTTTTCAATGTTTGTTTATTCTGATCTACTAATACTTTCACCTCTTTTAATCTATTTGTTGACACTCGAATGCAAGAAGAACTGCATCAAGCAAGGTGATGGTAAGACACCTTCTCCAAGGCCTGATGGGACCACACTTTCGAGTTAGCGTCAGGAACCCGCGTCATCAGCCAATCAGCGAACGGCTGCCCCTGAGATTGGAAGAGTGGCTGTATCTTGTTTATTACACCGTTCAACTGTTGTATTCTGTATGTATTCTGTATACCCCATCCCATGTAAGGGCACAAGGGGGAAGTTTCTCGTTTTTCTTTTCTTTTTTCTCTTTCCTCATCTCTTCCTTTATGTGGTGGTTATATAGTAGGCTATGCCAAGACCTGACTCTTCACGTTGGCTAATGCTTATTCTTTGGATAACAAAAAGGAAAAATAATCCTGTCCATTATACAAATTACATACAACATCGAAAAGAGACTAATTGATTCAATACAAGACAAATTGGAGGCTATGATTTCGGATTCCTTCAACATGAGACGCCGGTGTGGCCCCCTCATTTCCAACTTTGGAAAAGTACCCCGGATAATATTCGGATTAACTACTCCGTATACTACATCATATACTACCTTTAAAAAAAGCACATATTACACTGCCTCGATATATTCAATGTTGTTTGTTATTATGAGGAAATTTTATTTTATTTGTCTTTACTGGATTACTGGTTTGCTGGTTTATTTGCTTTCTGTTCTTATCTACTCTTAAAGCTGGGATTGTTTGGTCAATTTATCTCGAGGGAAACCTTTAGATAGGAATATTCTATTAATTAACTATGCCGAGCTAAGCGTAGGCTATTATTCAAGCACTCGGGGAAGATAGCTATGAGATGTGTAATACAATGTCTTGTCTTGACGTACTAGTTATCTACGGAGGGCCTGTGCGGCCTCAAGACCTCTATTGAAGATAGAACTCATCTGATATGTATATTATGCCAACGAAAACTAAGTAGGTTGGGAGTTAGTCCAATACCTTGATTTATGTTAAAGAAATCGTTGCTGTGTTTTTAGAGCCGATTGTCAAAATGATGTTAGTGGTTGTTCATGCTGTACGGAGTACCGTAACTGGAAATATATATCGGACCAACAGTTAAGCATTGTACGTCAAATTTGCGTTTTCAATCAAACTAATACTGTCTATCATACAAGACAGTCCTAATGCCTCATCTGTATTGAAAGTCGAATATATATAGACGTTGAAGTACAATTGTGGAGAGTTCAACTGTTCTAGGAAACAGACATTGAACTTCTTGTATAGTTTGACGTAGACTGGAACGCTGCCTGGCTCTTGGTCAGTGCCTCTGGAATTGTCCACGAAAATGGGTTCTCCTGTATACCATTGTTTACACCGATTACAAACATTGTATTGTTTTTTCTATCAACAGGGATGATATGAAGGTTAGAAATTGGGTTCATTTCTGTATTACACTTAGATAGACACAGGATGGCAAGTTCATAGAACTGCCCGCCAGGGCTTGTCCCCGGGTTAATCATCAAATCTGGGTTCATTGCTTTTCATCGGGCCTGGTATTGGGGTCTTCGTTTGAAAACATCATCAGAGTACAGACCATCCCCCGTGAAAGGGATCCTCTGTGATTAGTACAGCGCAATTAGGAAATATGAGCTGCGCAAATATGAAACATGGACGAAAGGAATGGGAAGATGACACAAGAGAAAAAGGGAAGGTCATGGGCCCCATGGGCACTCGTATGTGTGGGATGCACACATGAAAAGGAGGGAAAGGGAAAAAAGCCGTATTGTTGGCAATGTACATTGGGGGTAGAGTTGTACACGAGAATGAAAAAGAAAAGGTAATGGCGTTTTGGGTCAGATCGCACTGTGAAAGAAATAGACGGAATTCTCCGAGATCGTGCAGGGAGTAAACATTAGGTAGGGATGAAGAAGATGGTCATGCAAATGATCTTCAGGTGGTTTTTCGGTTCATCTCATGGGTTGTGGTTGGCGGATGGAAGATAATGAGAGGGAGTGAGTATTGAGATGTGTCGATGGAAAAGAGAAAAAAGGCAAAAAAAAAGGCGATTACATGTCAGCCAGCGCTGCCTCAAAACTGGCAATATCATCGTGAGATGGTTTGTCGAAAATGCGTCGGAATGGCGGGTCTTGGAAGTCCTGCGGGCTGGTTGCTACACCGTCCGCTTTGCGAATGACTTCTTTCAATGCACGCGTTACCACACCCGCACGAACCACCAAATTTTTCAACGAGGAAGTGTCAAACGGAAGTTTCTTCGCACGTGACGATAATTCCAACTCAAGAGCTGAAGCGGACTTTTGTTGATCATGACCAGCTTGGAGGATATCAAGTACAGATTTGGACTTTGAGGAGTCCTTTGCAAGCTGAGTGAGGGGCAACGTGGGTGACGAACTTTCATGAGGCACGTCCCATGAGACTTCACTGTTTCGCTTCGACGACGCATTCAGACCGTCATCGTCGGATTCATCAAAACTGAAAGTAAGAGATTGTGGAGATCCTGGCGGCGAGCGATGCTCCTCTTCATCGTCAATGGTAGCAAGGTTCACAATCTGCTCTGCCTCTGCCCACAGTTCACTGGACGGTCCGTTGACAACACCTAGGACATTTGCTTGATGCCGAAGACGTTTTAATTCCTCCACCAGCAGTGTTAATTCTTGAACCTGCCCAAATTGACCACGAAGACTTGCTTGACGCTCCAGAATAGCCTTCGGAACTGTCATGCTCTGGCGATTGGTATCCGGCTCAATAAGTGGTTTGTTCTCGGCGATAGGTGTGTCCTCCGATTCATCAAAGTCAAAATCGCTATCCCAATCTTCACTGACACCTTTACTGCCCAAGCCCCAAGTACCGAACTTGCCGGAAGTTTGACGCGATTCGTTGATGGGAAGTTCACTGGCGACTGGGACACTCTGGCTCCTAAGGTGGACGGTGGATGGTGCTTTCCGGCAAACAGCCCGACTGTTTCTATCAATAACACCCTCTTGTTTCCCATGCATGGTCCTGGGACGTGTCTCCGAGTCCGAAGTTTCACGGTGAGGGTGTGTCTGTTCAGACCAGTCAAAAATGTTTGTCTTTTTGCTGATATCCGAATCCAACTCGCCCACGAACGATCCTGACATATCCTTGGCCGCATCAAAACGCGATTCGGGCTGCTCGGAAAATTTGGCCAATGAATGGGTCAAAGGAGATGAAAAGAAATCACGATCCTCGCCAGGAAGCGATCCAATCATGCTGAGAGCATCGTCTTCAGGCACGAATGGGGTTTCAACCATGGATGTTTGAACCAAAGGAGGAGAAGACAGAAGCGGATCAGTGAATAGTTGGGGATCCTTGTCCGAAGACCGAGCGGCGAAGGAACCCCGCGGGAGGAGAGACTCCAAGGTCGTGGCTTCTTCATTTACCAAGCTCGTACCTGCTTTGTCAAACATGGTCTCAATCCGCAGCCCCTTCAGTCCACTATGATTGGTCTCACGTGTGCGGACAGAGTCCCAATAATCCGTCTCATATTCATCACAGGATGTAAACACCCGCGTGTCATCGGAACCGATGACAGTGGAAGCCGGATCGGAAGCTGAAATCGAAAATCCCTTGGGACGGCGACGAAGAGAACCATAGGCTTGGGCACCAGGACGAGACGCCTGCTGCCACGCTGACAGGGCGACCGCATCCGAGGCCATTTGACGTGAACTAGCCCGAGATCCCAAGCCAACGTTATAGTCCTGCGATACCGATCGAGGACCAACTTGGGACCGTCTCTCCAAAGCCGAATCAGCCCAACCTGGCTGCGAAATGGGATGCGGAGCGCGGAAAATGCTTGGATCCGTAATATTGCGTCGCGGCTCCGGCTCGGGCTCCGGGGGGCTCGGAATAGCAATCTTCTTGTCTTCCATAGACAGTTCAGAAGGAGGGACTGAGAAGGTCCTCCCCTTCACTCGCTTCAGAGAGCCGCCACGAACGAGTCCCATAATCGGTGTCCCATGCGCGGTGACTGTGTTTGCCATGACGATTTTCGGCTCAACATCGTTGACCGAGGATGATTTCTTATGGCCGGATTTCTCTGCTTGCTGTTCCGGAGCGACTGGTTGTTTGGGAGCAGGCTCAGAGGAGGGCGTCTGGAACGGATTCCGGAATTCAATTGGGGTATGGGGTACTGATATGTCCTCTCGGGGGGGCAGCACGCGGAGGTGAGATCTCGTTAGCCATAACCAACGCAGGAAGAGCGCCCTGGTCGGACACAATCTGGCGTACACTCTGAACTTTTGCGGTAGTGGCGGTGGAGAATCTGCGTGAAAGTCTTTCTGCTAATTTGCCAGCCTTGGGAACGAAGAACCTCGTCCAATGTTTCTGCTTATTGATATCGAAATCCTCGATCTTTGGACCTTCGACAGGAGTCTTCGGAAAATATGTATCGAAATCAGGTGTCAAGGGAGTCCGAAGGATCATCGATTCCGACCTCTGGTGACTCGTGGC